CGCCCTCGCCCCCGCCCGAGGCCATTTTCACTTCAGCTATCGATCCCGTCCTTGCTCTCACCGTCGTTCCCTCGCCCTCGTCCCCGTCGGGGTTCAGCCCCAGCAGCGCAGTCGTCGTCGAGGCCTCCTCCTCCTCCTCCTCCACCTCCTCCTCCTCCTCCTCGTCCTCATCCGCCTTCTGCTCCTCCTCCTCGGTCGTCCTCTGGTTCCTCTTCTTCCTCCTCCTCCTACTCTTCCTAACCTTCCTCCTCGTCGTTCGCATCCTCCTCCTCCTCGTATTCCACCTCCTCGTTCGTCTCCTCCTCCTCCTCCTCCTCATCTTCCCTCCTCCTCCTCCTCCTCCTCATCCTCATCCTCATCCTCCTCCTCCCCCCCCTCCCCCTCCTCCCCCTCCATGTCCTCCTCTCCTCCTCCTCCTCCTTTTCCTCCTCTTTGGGTCGCCTCCGACCCCGGGGGGAAACCGCGCAGTCAGCATCAGGCTGCGAAAGCTATACAGTCGGACCGAGGCATCAGATCGAGGATGGTTTGGGGAGGGTGCCCCAGAACTGCTCGTGCGTGGCTCATGCTACTCATGCTCATGCTGCATGTTCCTCCTGCTCAGGGGGGGGGGGGCGAACGAGGGCAACTGGCGGACGCCTGGCGGGCCCGCGATGGGGGATTCCAGGGTTTGTTGTTTGTGGGGGGTCTGAGCCAGGGATACACACACATATACGTAGCACCCCGCACTTGCGGATAAGAGTGAGGGGGCTGGCGCGGGCGACGCGGGCGTCGTAGAGCCAGCGGACCTCGTGGCCCCCGCTTTTTTTGTCGATGGCGCTCTCTTCCTCCTCCTCCTCCTCCTTCTCCTCCTTCTTCTCCTCCTCCTCCTCGTCCTCGTCCTCATCGTCATCGTCATCGTCCTCCTCCTCCACCTCGTCCTCCTCCTCTTCTTCCTCGTTCTCCCTCTCCCCCCCTCGTCCTTCCATCATCGTCCTCCCATTGTCGTCCTCCCCCTCATCGGCCTCCATCATCGTCCTCCCATTGTCGTCCATCATCATCCTCCTCCCCCTCCTCCCCCTCCTTCTTCTCGTTCTCCTCCTCCCCACCTCCCCCTCCTCCCCCTCCTCGTCCTCCTGCTCCTCCTCCTCTTTCTCTACATTATTACATCCTTTCTTCTTCCGCGTCGTCCTCGTCCCCTGTTTACTCCTCCTGCCCCCCCCTCCTTTCCCAAGGTAACGGCCACGCATTCTTTTTTTCCATTCTATGCTCCCCGACTTCTCTGATCAAGGCAACTCGCCGGGGCAAAATTGCTGGACGGGCTGGCATGGATGCGCGGGGCTTGAAGAGGTCGTTGCGGGCTCAGGCGGCATGCTAAAATCCGCCGCCGCGCTTGTGCGGCCTTGGTTTGTTCAGTGAACGCGATTTCGGTCGCATGTGGGTCGCGGGCTCTCCACCCCCACTTGGAAGGAATGCAAAAGCAGCCCGCCGCAGGCGCCGAAAAAATTGGTCTGTACAATGAACGTGGTTTGGGTCGCAGGTGGGTCGCGGGCTCTCCACCTCCACTTGGAAGGGATGCAAAAGCAGGCCGCCGCAGGCGCCGAACAAATTGGTCTGTACACTGAACGTGGTTTGGGTCGCGGGTGGGCCGCGGGTTCTCCTCCGGGAAGGAATGCAAAAGATGCCTGCCGCAGGCGCCGAAACATGTAGTTTGTACCCTGAAAGCCGTGGTCGCGGGTGGGCCGCGGGCTTTCCACCTGGAACGAATGCAAAAGATGCCCGCCGCAGGCGCCGAAAAATATGGTTTGTATCTTGGTCGTGGTCTGGGTCGCGGGTTGGTCGCGAGTTGGTCGCGGGGTGGGTCGCGGGCTCGCCACCTCGAAGGAATGCAACAACACACAAAAAAACAGCCGCAGGCGCCGAACATGTTTGTTTGTACCTTGAATGTGGTTTGGGTCGAAGGTGGGTCGCGGGTGGGTCGCGGGTGGGTCGCGGGTTCGCGGGTAGGTCGCGGGTGGGTCGCGGGTGTGTCGCGGGGTGGGTCGTTGGGTGGGTCGCGGGGTAGGTCGCGGGTGGGTCGCGGGTGGGTCGCGGGTGGGTCGCGGGTAGGTCGCGGGTGGGTCGCGGGTAGGTCGAGGCATCAGGTCGAGGATGGTTCGGGGAGGGTGCCCCAGAATTGTTCGTGCGTGGTTCATGCTAGTCACGCTCATGCTGCATGTTCCTCCTGCTCAGGGTGGGGGGGGGGGGCGAACGAGGGCAACTGGCGGACGCCTGGCGGGCCCGCGATGGGGAATTCCAGGGTTTGTTGTTTGTGGGGGGTCTGAGCCAGGGAAAGGATATATATATATATATGTATATATATACACACACATACATACATACATACATACATACATACATACATACATACATACATACATACATACATACATGCATGCATGCATGTGTATATATGTATACACAGGGGGTATCAAAAAGCAAACATTTAATATCGTTTGTGTTCCTCTTCCCCCGAACCGCCACCCTCCCTCCCTCGGGGGTACCCGTGGCAGCCCCACAAGACCACACCACGCGCGGCCCGCGACCCGAACCCCAACGCGACCGCCAGAGGGTCCTAAAAACACACGCAGGCCGTTGCGGCCCGCTCGGGTGGGAAGGGTGGCCCCGCCGCCGTGCCGCTCCACGACAGCCGTTCGGTTCGGCGGCGGGGTCCACGGATCTGGCGGGTTGACACAGTGGCCATTGCATGAATTTCCCCCGCCTCCGCCGTACCCCCCCCCGAACCAAACATTCAGCCATGGCTGAACATAGCATAGCACGCGTTAGTGCGGACTGCACACCGAGCCTTCGATTGCCACGGCCCGTGCTGGACCAAGGCTCGTGCCCTGCGCTGGACCTCTGAGTTTCGCCCCCTCGTGCTTCTCGCTTCTCTCCTCATCTCCCTCCTCCTCCGCCTCCTCCTCTCCCTCCTCCTCCTTCTGCTCCTCCCCGGTTTTCCTCCTCTTTTTCCTCCTCAGTCGTTATCTCTCCTCCTCGCCTGGTTTTGCAGCTGGTAGTGGCGCGGGAACTTTGGCAACGGTCGGATACGTTCTATGTGTACATACCTGTTCATATGTACGTGTCATAGATGTGACATGTAAACGTATGCGATGTATCGTACGTGCGAAACGTATGCACTTATGTTTATATATATATATATAGATGTGTGTGGGTGTGTACACATATCTGTACATACATACATATATATACATGCACATACATGTAGACATGTGTACATATATATGTATATATATATATATATAACAGATACACAACCGAATCCGGATTTGTGACCGGATTCGGAAAACTGGGAAAGTGCATCCGCGGATTCAGATCAGGCCAAAACCAACGGATCCCGATTCTGGATCCTAGGCATCCAGAGACGCGCGCGCACGGGGCCGACCTGGCAGCGTTTTGGGCCGACGCCGCGATATTGGTTTCGGCGTGCCCAAACCAGACCATAATTCATACCTGCTTTGGGGTTCCCAGTCAGGCTTGAATCGAACTTGGGTTTTAGGGCCAGAGTTAAATCCGAGTTACAGTCATACTTTAATCGGAGGGAGTTGGTGCTGACGGCCATCTTTGAATCAGAGTTCCAGCGCAGGCGTGGATCAGACCTTCATTGGAGTTTTGGGCCTGAACAGAGAAACGGAGTCTGTCCCCAAAAGACACTCAAGGGAAGGGATCAAAGGAAAGGGGTTTTTTCGACTCCATCACAATACAACGTTGCTTAATTTCGCTGTGGCTGGCGCGCTCGATGACGACAACGACCGCGACGACGACGACGAGTCAAACGGAACAGCCTCTTCCACGCGCCGACAGGGCCGGCGGATTCATCTAGCAGGGGCCGTACATTGGTCGGTCTCCTCCCCCAGGAAACGGTTACCCGATTCAACCCCCAGCGGCCGAAGACATAGTGAACGGTTCGAAGTATTTGAAGAGTGGTGGTGCTGGGCTTTTTCACGTGACGAACGATCCATTGGAGACAACGGATCTCTCGCGCAAGCAGCTTGAGGTCGTCGATCGACGCACCCAGGTGCTTGAGGGTTGGAAGCGACGTAATGTAATTCAAATGGATTGTGACATGGATCCGGCGTGCAATCTTGTTTTATACTTTCAATGACTTCTCGACACCGTGGCGTGAGAACCGCAAGCCGTCTTGCAGTGCCCACGGCTAGAGGCCATCCAAACCATATTGATTATCGGAGAAAACCTGCGGCTACTGCTGGAGGTAATGGGCCTGATGCCCCAAGCTCACGATCTCATGCTGAAAGACCAGATTTTGCACACTAAGCCTGCATTCCAGATGATACGTAAACGCCTTGTTGTCGGTAGTTCGACAGCGTTTTTTGCATGTGCGAGCCGGCTGCCTCTCCCTCGCCCCCTCTCTCTCTTCCCTTTGTCCCCTTCCTGGTTCTTCCCCCATGTTCCACTCCAGCATCCCGTGCTTCTTCTTCAGTAGAGGGCCAGCTGCATTTATATTGAAGCATCCAACCTAGAGCTCGGTAGAACAATTGCGGGCAGGAAGGCTGGCATTCAGGCTGGAGTTCCAGATCTGAAGCTGTTCGCTGGCGCTCGTGGCGGGATGCCCCACCGTTATTCCTCTGGCAGTGTAGTTTGTCTCCACCTGTTCTCTTCTCCCGCCTCCCCCGCTCTCTCTTCGCGTACCTTCTCCACTCCCCTTCCCCCTCCTGACTTCAATGAAGCCTGGTTTCACCACAATCTCGAGCACATCTTACTTCCTGGAAGCTCAGGCTGGGCACTGACCCTCTCTCCTCGGGAACCAGTGAGGAGGAGGAGGAGGAGGAGGAGGAGGAGGAGGAGGAGGAGGAGGCGGAGAAGCCACGGCGCCAGCTTCTGCGCTGCCGCCGCCGGCCACGGGGGCACGGCCTCGGTGCGATCCTCGGTGCCAGTCATTCGTTGCTGTCTGGCCTGTCTGTCAGCGCTCTTTCCTTCCCTCGGCCGTCGGGGCGCTCTCCAGGCCTATGAACATCTGCCTGGGCCATTTGCCGAATGGTTTCTACTCCCCCCGTTTGGGCCGGTGCACCGGCCCAGAACACATGGAGGATTGCACTCCCTTGGAGTTTTTTTCGCTTCTACCCGCCCACCGACGCTCGAGGGAGTTTGGGGGGTGGTTCGGGCTGGCGAGGGTCGATTTTGAAGCATTCCGAACTTGACCAAAACACTATCCTCTGACCGTCCGCCCCTGCTTGCAGCCCTGCGAACATCGGCCGCTTGGCGCGTTGTCAAATGCGGCGGCGCGGCCAAAAAGACGGCCTCAGGTGAGTTAGGTTGGAGTTGCCCGTGTCCCCAAGGTCAAAGTTTTGGGCTAGTCGGCGTTTGCTCGGCGGTGGGGACCATTCGTCCGTGACCAAGCCCGATTTGCGCTGCAAGCGCGAACTCGTCCTATAAGCGGGCTACGTTTCGCCATGGTGCCGTGAGGATTGTGAGACGCTTCATCCGTGAGAGGTGCGAACAGCGAACAACAAAAAACACGCCCGTGCCCAAGAGGCCCTAAGAGAGCCCCAAGACGCCCCGAGAGGGCCCTAAGACGGCCCAGGAGGCCTCCAAGACGGCCCAAGAGGCCCCCAAGACGGCTCCAAGGGAGTCTCCGGACGTGGGCCTCGAACGGGCATTTCGAGCTCTCGGCCCCGAGAGACCCCTCAGGAAGCCTAAAGCTGCATCCGAGAGTTTCCAAGAAGCCTCCGCGAACCCCAAGAGGCCCCCAAGAGAGACAACATTCATTGTTTTCGAGCTGTCATCGCTGGCGGTCGGTGCCCTAGTGTGTTCGCCCTTTGGTGCCGTAGGAAACGAGAGGGGGAAGAAGCACGATGAGGAGGAAGAGGAGGGAAACGAAACACACGGAGGAGAAGGAGGAGGAAGAGGAGGAAGAGGAGGAGGAGGAGGAGGGGGAGGAGGAGGGAGGAAAGCAAATACTAACTTGAGGGGTAGGAGGATCGCACTAGGATGGGCGACGGGGATGAATCATTGGAAGGGGCATTCCGAGGATCGCCCGTAGGACGGGGGAGGCGGAAGGACGACAAGCACAAGGACGAGGAAGGAGGTGGACAAAGAGGAGCAAGACGAGGAGGGAGGAGGGCGCGGAGCGCGCGCGCGTGGTTGTAGTGTATCTCAATGTCTGTATACATGTTTTTATCGGTTCTATTCGTGCAGCTAGCTGGCTAGATGTGGACGAGGAGGAGGAGGTAAGGGAAGATGTGTCACACGGGCGCTGCTCGCGAGAATGCGCACCCGAGGTCGACGAGACCGTCGCGGTGGGAGGCCGGGGCAAGAACAAGAAGTCTCGCGGCAAGCAGTCCGTCATGGGCAAGGACGGCTGCTCCTGCCGAGCCACAGCGACGACGCCTGCGGCGATCCGCCGCCGCCTCCTGCCTTTTGGAGGCGCTTCTGTGTGGCCAAACGTAGAGCAAACGTTTGGCCAAAGCTTGGGGCTATCCCGAGGCGGGGAGTCATCCGTGACCGCCGCCCGGCGGACCGACCTTCGGGGGCCTCGGCGGGCGGTGCACATACATTGATTCTCCCCCCCCCCCGGGGCCCAAGGGATTGCCATAGGCGGTGGGCAGCCCACGGCCAGCGGTGATCGGCCAGCAAGAAGGCCGCGGAGGGGGGGCGCGGCGCCCCCATTGTCCCCTCATCCTCCCGAGTGCCGCGCCACTCGGGAAGATGAGGGGAGAATGGGGAAAACAAAAGGTACAGGGGAGATTGCCATATCCACCGCCCGCTGGGGTCCCAGGTCTTCGGTTCCCCGGGCGGTGGATGCGGATGCATCCCCTGCCGATGCGGGAAACTTTCGGGGGAACACTCGGGTGAGGCAATGGGGGAGGAGCACGGGAGCGAGGATCAGGCGATCGCACACATGGATTAAGGGGGCGTGGATTAGCGACGGATCCCGCTTCAATGGGACATCGCGGATTTCCGCCGCCGACCGAGGCGGCACCGACCGCATTTTTTCGGGAGGGCACCTCCCTCGATCCATGGAGTTGGCGACCGCGCGCCAAGTCCATGGATCGCTAATCTATGTCTGCGCGCCCCCGAGAGGAGGGTGAGGGTAAGGCTAGGGGTTCGGCCCCGCAAGGGGGCAGCGAACTCCGCACGTGACGCCGCACTGGCTGGCCGCCCCGTCGGACACGGACTCCTCGCCCGCGGCAGTTGCGGGCATGGCTTCCCGCTTGCCCTGGCCTCCCTTCATGCTCCTCGGACTGATCTCTCCTGGGGCGCCACATCGCGGCTTCCGTGGGCATTCCGAGTGCAGCCAGAGACCACAGTACAAGCCGGTCGTTGAAAGTACGTAGGTATTTTGGGATGCCCGAATCCCAATCCTTTTTAGGCGCCTTCCTACTTCAAGAGTTTAGCGGTTTTCCTTCTTTCCTCCTCTTCAGGGGGCGGGTGGAAGCCCAATCTACTTCCAACGCCATCCTACTTCATGTTTTAACACACTTCTTCAGACCGGCGTGTAAGGATGCGCCACTTCATCGAGGTTGCCCTTGCACTCCTGCCGCCGAGTTTCGGCCCATGCTGAGCCAGTGTCGGCGTCCAAGGAGCTCTAAATGGCAAGTGGGACTTCCAAGGGTCTTGCGTTCTGCTCTCTACCACCTCGGCGCCCGCCGTGCGAAGGCCGAAGGCCGCGAGGAGATGCCGCCGCGCAGCGAGCTCTGCGGGCGGCTCTGCCCCAGCGGGGCCGCAGCTGCCGCGCCTGCGCGCGCGGCGGGCGTGCCCCCGAGGGCGCTCTCCAGCGTGTCGTGCCGGCGGCCAACTGCCCTGGCCATGGTCGGGAGCTTTGAGACGGGGTCAACGCAAAGGGGGGTCAGCCAGAGCGTCCGACCTGCAGGGCAAGGGTCGCACTGACCCGGGTTTGGGCGCAGGATCATGCAGGATCTTGCAGGATCTTTCGCACTGACCCGGGTTTGGGTGCAGGATCTTGGAGGATCTTTCAGGATTCTGCAAGGGCTGACTGACCCGGGTTTGGATTGACACGGGTCAGAAGATCCCCGACATGGGCTTGCCCTCTTCGGCCTCTCTGGTGGGCTGCTGGGCCGTCATCGGGCGATCCTGGGGGCCTCTTGGGGCTGTCCTCGACGACCTCAGCACACGACCCGCGGGCGTGCGAATGCTGTGTGCACTGTGGACGTGGCCTCGAGGCCCAGCAGCACTGAGGCCTCCCGAGAGCGCCCCCTAAGCCCCCAGGATTCTTCGTCTGACGGGTCCAGGGGGCCGCTCAGGGTACGTCGGATGTGCGTGTCCCAAGCTACGCTCCTAAGACCTTTGGAAAAGTGGCACGACATGGCCTGTCAGGCAACTATTGGCCCTGGTCTCCGTACAGGATTTTTGTCAAGGCCTAATGCAGAGAGCTCGAAGGGACCAGAGGACACTCCTCTGCGGCACGGTGGCGGGTTTAGCCAGGACAGCATGACCAGGCAGAGCTGAAACAAGAGCAGGGCTGAATGGTGTGTGTATGTGTGTTTGTGTTTGTGTTTGCGGGCACGTGTGGATGTGTGTGTATGTGTTGGGTGATCGTTTTCTTATTCACTGTTTTGCCGATCGGCGCGGGCCCTCGCACCCCACCCCTCCCTCGGAGGAGATCTTGGCTGTTTTTGGCACCTGTTTCGAGCAGGTGGGGTCTCCTTCCACAGGACGCACTGCTGCAAACAGCGGCACTAAGCAGAGGTCCCGAGCCAGACCCCCCCCCTCCCCTCCCCCTTCCGCCCAATGTCGAAACGCCGAGTAAGGAAACGCTCACTCGTGTAGGGTGGTGGGGGTTGGGGGTGGGGGGCTTGTGACATATCGGAAGTAAGTCTTCCAGGAAGTGCACATGATGCTGAAGCTGCCGAAGTTCTTTGGAGAGTTCTGCGGGCAGGCGGGACGTTCGCTGGATCTCGTTGGCGTTCTGTAGAACTGGCTGCGGTCGACCACCACTGGTCCTCGCGGCTGCGGAAAAAAGCAAGGGTCTCGCTGAGGGCGGTTGTTGAAGAGGGCGAGGAAGAGACATTCAGGCATGGGGCGCCGAGGGGGGAAGTCCAAGCTAAGTGCGCTCGCGTCGTATCTGACGTCCTACCTCTCCCGCCCATCCCTTACCGTGGCGTACATCTCTCTATTCGCACAGTCGGATGTAGAGCATGGCAATGATCCCGAAAGGGTGCTCGATACATCCAGAGCACGGCATCGCAGGGCGTAGAGTACGGCAGAGCGTAGTATGTCATAGCATGGCGTGGCGTTGCGTAGTGAAGAATCGCATCACAAAACATTGCAACGCAACTAATGGCATCGCACAGCGGCACAGAACAGAACATGGCATAGCATGGCGTTGAAGATCAAAGCGTAGCATGGCATAGCATGGCGTGGCATTGCGTAGTCAAGTACTGCATATCCTAGCATTGCCGCTGAAGGCATGGTATCGCACAGCGGAACACCACATAGCATTGCATTGCATGCCGTGTCATGGCACTGGAATTAGTGATGCTAACGCTGCAGCGGGAACACGATTCGGAACGAACGGAAGCGCGGAAATGAGGCCAGCGTTGCAGCGGGAGCACGATTCGGAATGAGCGGAAGCCCGAAAGTGAGGCCATCTTTTCAGCGGGAGCAGCATTTTGACAACGAAAATTCGCGGAGGGGTGCCGGATATCTTCTGGACGTCATCAGGGGAGAGAGCAGAGTAGTTCTCATATGGTGTAAGTGTAGAGGGGCCAGGCCTTCTGTTCTCAGAAGGCCTTCTGAGAGCCTTCCGAGAAGACCCGCGCCCCAGGGGCCCTCCCCCCCGAAGCGCGCCGCCGACGTGAGCCACTTGGAGAAGATAGGCTCCGCGGAGCCCCGCCAGCGCTTCGACACTTGAGCCCAGTGGCCCCCCGCGTTAGCACGGGACGCCCGTCTTGGGCACGGAGAGAAGGGGCGCCAAGACCGACAGCAGTTCTCGTCCGCCCGGAGGAGGGCTCGCTGTCGGTGTCGCCGCGGACGGTGCCCGTTTGAGACAGACGGCCGCCTGCCCAACAGCGGCCGCTGTCGGTGTTGGACAACACTTGCTGTTGTTCCGTACCCTGGTCGGGCGTCCGCAAACGGGTTCAAATGCGTGGACATTCGCGCGCAAGCTCACCGCGTGCGGTAGGTTCGTATCGTGACGACCGGCGGCGACCTCGCCAGCGGCGTTCAACGTTGAGCGCCGCGGGCGACCCAGAATCGTTCGACGTGGAACGATTCGGACGTCTCGGAAACGGCCGATCGTTCAGGGTTGAACGATCCCCGCGGTGTCAGAAGCCAGCGCCGAACTCGGCACGACGCGAACCCGACGTAAGGTCGCGCGTGAACGCACTCCTCTCCCCGCGGCGTGCCTCGTGGGCGAGAGACGCGCCCGTCTCCGCGGCTTTGAGCAGGGCTGGACCTAGACGCTGTGTTGCTGGACTTCGGCTGTGTTTCGTTTTTTCGTTTTGGCAGGGAGGTACAGGAAAACTGGTAGAGCAAAACGGACAACAAGACGAAAAACAACGTTTAGGTTGAAGTCGGGCCTGTCCCTCTACAGGAGGAGTATTCAAACATGGTCAAACATTGTCGGGGAACGTTTTCTTTAATACATTCTTTGTTGACCATTTGGGAGTATGTCTGTTGAGCACTTGTTATTTGTTTTTTGAATTTGTTTTGAGTATGTTATTTTGAGTATGTTATGTTTGAGTATGTATGTATTAGTTGTTGTTTGTTATTTGCGTATAAGTATGAATATGTTTGAATATGATGTTGAGTATTTTTGTGTATGTGTGAGTATGTTTTGAGTATGTGTTATTTGTCGTCCAAAATCCGCCTCTAGGGGGACATGCCCGACCTAAAAGCTTAGGTTCCGCCCTGGCCTCGAGGGCCCGGCCCCGAGGGCCGCGACGCCGCGCATCCCCTGGGCCTGCCCCCGCGGATGCCCCGCGCGGAGCGTGCCCGTGCGCCTCCGCGGAGCCTCACCAGCCTCGAACGGATCCCTATCCCCAAGGGCTCCCTCGAGGGCGCGAAGTTATTCGCGCTTCGCGCTTCGCGGTCCTCGTTCCTTCTCCCCCTCCTCCTCGTCCTCCTATTCTCCCTTTGGGAGGGCGGCGCGAGAGCGCGAAGTTATTCGCGCTTCGCGCTTCGCGCAGCGCGAAGCGCGAAGTTGGGAGCCCTAGTATCCCCAAGATGGACGCGCCAAAGAGCCATGACGATCTTCGGGAGGCGCCCTCAAAACATGAGGGCATCCCCAGGATTGGCGTCGTGACGAGGAGATGCCCAGCATGGGGACAGGGATGTGTTCCTGGGGGAACACAAATGGCATAAACATAAAAACTCGAAGGTCCGCGCGGATTTGTCGGATCGGCGCTGGACCCCCCTCCCTGGTGCGCGGAGCGCGCCAGGGGCGGCGCCGGAGTTGCCGCCAGGGGGCCCCAGCGCCGATCCGAGAAGTCTGCACGGACCTCCGAGTTTTTATGTTTGTGCCACTGTTTGTTCCCCTAGATAGGGATGGGCTCCAGGCTGGTACAAGCCCGCGGGATCGCGCCCCAGATCCCAGACCGCGAGGGCGCGGATTCGGCCGAGCTCGCCCTTCGCGGCGTCCCCCGCCAGGGCCTCGGGCCACGGCCCGGGTCTCCACGGCTCGGTCTCCCTCTCCTCCTCCTCCTCTTCCTCCTCCTCCTCCTCCTCCTCCTCCTCCTCCTCCTCGCTTCCTCCTCCTCTTCCTTCCTTCCTTCCTTCCTTCCGTCCTTCCTCCTCCTTTTCCTCCTCCTCCTCCTCCTTCTCCTCCTCCTCCTCCTCCTCCTCCTCCTCCTCCTCCTCCTCCTCTCTTCCTCCTCCTCCTCCTCCTTTCCTCCTCCGCCTCCTCCACCTCAGGGTCGCATCGCGTGGCGAATCCCAGTTGCCGACCCTGGCCCGCGCGGCGGGCCTGGCCAGGACTGGGTCCTCCAGAAGAAGGAGCACCAGAGGAACCAGGGCAGGGAGGTGCGCAAGGACCCGCTGCGGGGGGGGGCGCAACGGTCGGCGGCGAGCTGGGGGGGGAAGCGAGGAGGAGAGGGCCTACTCAGAGGTCTCGGCAGGCCCCCAGCCTTCTGACAAGGGTTCTGGGCCTTCCCCAATGACACAGGACACTTCTCACACGGCCGGAAGGCTTCCGAGACGTACCGCCGCCTTCTGAGAAGACCTTCTCATTCTCGCTCTGTGCCCTCTCTCGCCTTCGAGCAGCGGGCCCCGAGTTGTTTCGCGGTTTTCGGGCCATCGGGTCCCTCCACGGGCCCCAGGACTGGCCAGAATCAGGAGGGGAAAAACCACACAGGCACAATAAGTCGTCGACTCCCAGGAAAATATAGGAAAATATAGGAAGTGGGGGGGAAGGGAGACCCAGAACATATGGGAAACTATGGGGATTCCTGTTATTTGTGTGTATTTATGTGTGTCCTTGCGGGCCCCTTCACAGAAGACGGCTCGGGATGAACACCTCGTCGTGTGGGGAGGCCCCGGGGTCCAGGACCCGATCCCGCCGTGCTCACGAGGACACGAAGTACACGGCCCGCCCGAGGCGGTCGAAGAAGTTCTGAGGCGGCCGCGAGCCCGACCCCGCCCTCCTCCTCCTCCTCCTCCTCCTCCGCCCCTCCCCCTCCTCCTCCTCCTCCTCCTCCTCTTCCTCCTCCTCCTCCTCCTCCTCCTCCTCCTCCTCCTCCTCCTCATCCCCCTCCTCCCCCTCCTCCTCGCTCCTCCGCCTCCTCCTCCTCCTCCTACTCCTCCTCCTGCTCCTCGCGCTCCTGCCTAGGCACGTCCTTCATCTCCTTCTCCTGCTCCCCACCGTCCGCCTGTCCCCGCCTGACTCGATGTGTTGTTCCTCCTGCTCCTGCTCCTCCTACTCCTCCGCCTCGTCTTCTTCCTCCTCCTTCTCCTCCTCGTGCTCCTCCTCCTTCTCCTCCTCCTCCTGGTCCTCCTGCTGCTCCTCCTCCCTTCTCTTCCCATCATCCCCCTCCCCTTACACCATCCACCCTCCATACCTCTCCTGGCCTTTCCTGTGGGTCCAGCGCCACCCTCCCTCCTCGCGTCACCCTTTGGCTGCCATGCGGGTCCTGGCCTGGACGCACTCTGCGTGCATGGTTTGTGGTGTCGTTGTCACGATTCCGTTGTGCTCTTTGTCGTGCTTCTTGGCCACCTCCGCTGCAGCGTGCTAGTTGTTGGAGTTTGCCTTCGGCTCGGGCAGCCACCTGCGCTGCCCACATGTGTTCCGATTCCCGTGTGGGGTGGCAATGTTAGCGCATTCCGCCGCCCCCTCACATGTTCACCTCGCACATAGGAAGCTAGAACATCTAGCCCGCAGGCGACGGCTCGCGCGCGCGGTAGGAGCCGTGAGACGTGCGCGGCTTCGCCCGCCCGAGTGGCAAAGAGGCGCATCCCCCGAGGCGGAGACCTGGACCACGTCATGAGTTCGACCGCGCGCTCCTCGCCCCCCGCCCACCCGACCCTGTTCCATGCGCCCGGCGTTCCTCTCCCCCCGTCTGGCATCCTCCCCAAGCTTCGATTCACGCATGCTTGTTCGAAGCTTCTTCTCATCAAGACATTCTTCCCTTCAGTTCATTTGAAGATCAGTTTGTTCCATGGCCTTTCGAACACGCGGCCCTGTCGGTGCGTCGGTGCGTGGGCCCCTTTCTTGGAGCCGGCACAACACGGGAACAGCATAGCCTTAAAGCCTAGGGCTGGGCACGCTGAGCCGTCCCTGTCAGCTGTTCCAGATGTTTTTGTGGTTACTGGAGCTGCGGGGTGGTTGCAGCTTGATGCTGGCCATTCGTTGGCAATCGGAGGTGGATAGACCTCCTACCTGGACGCGTCGATTAAGGGATTGGCCCTTTTCGGTTCGCGAGAGGGCGTCGCGGCCGTTCACTTTTGCGGGCCCAGGTCCGTCGGTTTCGGTCCCAGGCCGTTTTCATCAGGGGGAGGTTGAAAAAAGGGAGGTCTGTCCACCGCCGAGACAAGCAGTTTTTGCGTCGAGGGTAACTTGCGGACGCATCAAGCTCACAGCACACCCGCACTACGACTGCACCAGCTTTCTTGTTCAACATCCCCCGGATGTCGTGTGGACGGTATTCCAGTTGTGCGGAGTCCACATCCAGGCCCAACATTGATCGGATTCAGTTGATGGTTTATGTATATGTATATAATCGTATATACATATATGCAACTATACATAATCATATATGCGTATGCATATGTACGTGTGTACGTGTGGTGTGCGCATTTTTTCGTACACCTTCCCACTTGACATCTGGGATGCATGTTGCCAATCCCGACGGGAAGGTCTGATGCGACCGTTGTGAATGAGCTCAACCCCTCTGGGGATTGTAGGGGCACGGATGGTCGGAGTGTCTGCCACCACAGAGGGGGCAGAATGAGAGAGGGGATGAAGAAGGGGCAGGATATATGAGGGGTACAGAAGGGAGCCAGAGGAGGAGGAGGAGGCGGAGGACGAGGAGGAGGAGGGGGTTGATGAGGGGGAGGTGGTGTTGGTGGAGGAGCAGGATCATGGCCACCACTTATTGGAGCCGTCTTGGGTCCCTCCTGGGCCCTCTTGGGACCTTAGGGGCCGTCTTGGGACGATATCAGAGATCTCTTGGGCCGTGTAAGGCGCTCTGAAGACAGAAACATTGTGCACGCGGATGTTATACTAACATGTTGTTTTTTTCTCACACTGAGTGTGCTCTCTTGGGCCAGCCATGTGCGCAAAAGAGCACCAGGACGGGCCTTGAAGCTCTCTCAAGCCATTCTGAAAGTATGAAGCCCCAACCGTGCTCCCCAACCGTTCTCGAGGAAGTACAGCGAGCGGCCCCACAAGTCATGCTGGGAGCCGCAGGACATCGGGAGTCCCAAGTACCACACAACTATAACGCAGACTGAAGAGGACCCGAGAACACTTGCCCCGTGCCCCCGGCACGGAGGCGGGTAGGGGAGAGGCGTGAGAGGCGTGGGAAATGAATCGTAGCAGCGCCAGAAACAGACCAGGGCAAGGGAGACTAGAACAGGGGTGCCCCACAGGTCGCCGTCGTGGTCGTCGTCGTGCTTGTTCGCTCCGTCTCCATCGTCGTCGTTTGTCCTGTCCTCGCTTCAGAGGGGCAAAAAGTCATGATCATGGCAGGTTCAAGGATTTCCTGGATTTCATCTTGTTCTTTGCGGCCAGAGAAGACTGGGCGATTGCGAAGAAGCCAACCAAATCATGACATTCATGTCTTGCCGTCGCCCCGTCCTTCCCCCATCCCCGTCATCGACGCGACTTCGCGGCCCAAGCAAGCGAAGCGAAGGATCATGTACAATCGACCTTTTGGAGTTCCGAGGCAGATTCCTTGCAGGGCGCGAGCTCTGGCGATTTCGTGGGCCACTTTCGCTTTGAATTCGGTCAGAAGGAAGGGCGGAACAAACACCACGCGAAGGACAACGAAAACAGCACACGCCCACACCCACACCCACACCCACGCACACGCACACGCACTCGCACACGCACACGCACACGCACACGCACACACACAGACAAACAAACACAGCCACACGGGCTGCACATTCTTACACACGCAGTTGCACACGCACGCGCACGGCACACGCCCTTGCACCCACGCGCACACACACACACACACACACCCACACACCCACACACACACACACACACGCACACGCACACACGCACACACGCACACTGGGACACACGCACACACGCACTCAGGCACACACGCACATGCGTACACACGCACACACGCACACACGCTCACGCGCACACGCGCACACGCGCACACGCGCACACGCGCACACGCGCTTACGCGCACACACGCACACACGCACGCACACGCACATACGCACGCACGCACACGCACACACGCACACACGCACACACGCACACACGCACACGCGCACACACGCACACACGCACACAAAACACACACACACACACACACACGCATACACACGCACACGCATGCACGCACACGCGCACACGCACACACGCACACACGTACACACGCGAACACGAAACACACAATCACACAACACGCGCACACGCAAAACATAAAGACGCAAACACACACATAGGCAAAGCACACAACACACACGAACACACAAACACAAACAGTAAACACGCACATGCGCACACACACACAAACACACAAAAACGCAACCACACAAACACCCAAACACACCCAAACAGACAAACAGACAAACACAAACACACAAACACAAACACAAACACACACACACACACACACACACACGGAGAGAGTTGCCCATAGCCCGCGCCCTGGCTCGCTAACTCGTTCGTCCCACCCCCGCGTCGCTCTTGGATCCGCGCCGGACCCCCCCCCAGTGGCACCTCTGGCGTCTTCCCTGGCCCCGCTCGACCCCCGCCCCCGCCGCTCGCCGCTGGCTCAGCGGGAGCTCGCCCCCATTTGTCCTGGGGCGGGCTGCTGCGGGAGCCCCGCCCCCGTTTGTCCCGGGGCGGGCCGCAGCGGGAGCCGGAAGCCGGGCGAGGGCTGGCAAATCCGTGGAAGAACAGAGCAAACTCCCAGGAACTAGAGCAAACTCCCAGGAAGAACAGAGCAAACTCCCAGGAAGAACAGAGCAAGAAAGAGCAACTTCCCAGGGAAAGACCCAGCGCGCTGGACAGTAAACGGGCTGCGCCCTGGAAAGAGCACACACGTTCACACGCAGTTTCCCGGAGCTCCGTTTTAGCAGCCACGGGTCTGCCGGCCTTCGCCTGGCTTCTGAGGGAGGCCCCGCCCCCGTCTGGCCCCGGGGCGGGCCACCCCTGCGCCTCTGGCGCGCGCCTTTTTCGCGCGCGGGGGCGGCTCTCCGCGCCGGCGGCGGCGGCGCCGGAGGCGGGTGCAGGCGGGGCGGCTCCGCGCCCCCGCTCGCGCACTCGCAGTCGCACTCCAAGCCATGCGCGCGTCCGGGTTTGTGGGCGGAGGAGAGGAGCTCAGCACCGCAGGCGCAGCTCAGCATCGTCTAATTATCCGATGCCCATCCCCATCCCCTTCCGCTTCAAGACCCCCACCAAATTGCCACCCCAGTTGGGGGTACACCCCTCGTAACCCGAAGGGAACGACCTATATCCCCATCTAGGGGGGGAAATCGGCCAGTGGGGCCCAGGCCACGCCGCTGGGGACGGGGATCGGTTAAACGATACTCAGCAGCGAGGAGGATCGGGTAACAGAGAACGGCATCGACATGCACGTTGGCGCTCCCGCGCGGAGCGCCACAGGTTTCTGTTTACGCCGCTGCTCCTTCTCCTTCTTCTTCTTCTTATTATTATTCTTCTTAGTTTTCTTATTATTCTTCTTATTATTATAAGTATCATTATCATTATTAATCTTGTTGTTAGTATTAGTATTACTACTATTAGTAGTATTATTATCATTATTAGTATGATTAGTAGTATTATGTGTCTCCTTTTTTCTTCTTATTATTTTAAGTATTATTATGTTTCTTCTTCTTCGTCTTTAGAAAACGAGTTCGGCACAGCATGCGCAGCGAGGAGGAGGACGGAGGAGCGAGCGAGCGAAGGGGCAGAGAGGGGCCGGGGCTCGCGGGCACGCGTCCTCGTTCGCTCTGGCGCAGGCTCCTGCCAAGCTTTCTCGCCCATCTCCTCCTCCCCCTCCTCCTCCCCCTCCTCCTCCCCCTCCTCCTCCTCCTCCTCCTCCTCCTCCTCCTCCTCCTCATGCTCCTCCTCCTCCTCCTCCTCCTCCTCCTCCTCCTCCTCCACGCGCCCTGTCTTGGGTGGGACGGGCGGGGTGGCTACGGCAGGCCCGCCGCGCGGGCGTGCAGGGTTCCAGATCTCCGACGCTCTGAGGCCTCCCGATCTGGGCCTCGCTCCTGGATCCAAGGGCTCCCACGAGGGCGCGAAGTTATTCGCGCTTCGCGCTTCGCGGTCCTCGCTCCTTCTCCCCCTCCTCCTCGTCCTCCTTTTCTCCCTTTGGGGGGGCGGCGCGAGAGCGCGAAGTTATTCGCGTTTCGCGCTTCGCGGAGCGCGAAGCGCGAAGTTGGGAGCCCTAGTGGATCTCAGCCCCCCTGGGGCGCAGCACTACCCCCCAGGGAAATCAAGAGGGGGAAAAACACACAGACACGAGGAATCATCGATGCCCCGGAAATGCGAAAATATGGGAAGTGGGGGGGGAAGAGAAAAACCCAGAACATATGGGAAAAGATGGGGAATCCTGTCATTTGTGTGTATGCATTTGTGTGTCCCAGGGACCCTTTAGGACAGGACTTCTGGATCCGCGCATTGAAGAAATCATATGGGAGTATGTGTGGGGTTGAACGCCGTCAGTTTTCTAGAGTCGGGCGACATCGTGCGTCCTTCGCCATCGGAAAGCCGCGGGGATTCAAAGGTTGCACGATCCACGCGGTGTCAGGGACCAACGCTGAGGTCGCCACGGAAAGGAGGTACTGACGCCCTGCGGCGCGTCGGCGTCGACGGTGGCGCAATAGCGCCTCACGGCATCTCACCAGTGTCGCACATCCCTCGCAGTGTCACGCAGATGTTGGCATTCTCCAGATGCCCGCGCTGCGCGCATATGCGAAGGGGCGGTTGCGAAATCTGCTGCGTGCAGCTGGTTTCAACCACGCCGCCAGGCGCTTCCCTCGATGCATTGTGGGGCGCTGCGTAACGGGAGGGCGATGAGTGGCGGGGCCAAGGGAGCTGCAAGTTTGTGCCCGACAGGGGCCCTCACAGGGCCCCCTGCGGCCCAAAGGGGGCACTCATGGTGCACGTCCCCCCCCTCCCCATCATGTATCGCACTTAATGGGCCCTGGAAACGACAGGGCCGTTCTTTTAACGATTCCATTTTGCCGTTTTTTGGCGGTTTCGACGCCGTTTTATTACCGGTTCCGTCGCCGTTTTTGTTACGGGTTCCCTCTCCGGTTCCAATCCTGGAGCCGTTTTTGTTGCCGTTTCCTGTCGCCGTTTTTTTTGCCGTTTCCATTTTCAAGGGGCATTTTTCCGGAAGCGGTGAAAAAACGGCCTTGCCGCTTCCGGGGCCCACTAAGGCATCGCCCCCCCATTTAACAATTCCAAGAAATTCAGCTATGTGAGCGGATTCGCTGACCCCGCCTTTGGCCCCCACCCCCTTCCGTCAGGCCCGTCCCGCCCCGAGCACGCGCGCCGGCCCCCTCTCGACCATCAGGGGGTCCCCCTCGCGGCGCAAAGCGACGTGCAGAGAACGGGTCCTGCAGGCTGCCTCTCTTCAGACGCGGGCGAGTTTGCTCGCGTGGCAGTTCTCCCCCCTCCTCCTCCGCCGCCTTTTCCAAGCAGGGCTGAGCCCGAAAGGCGAGCAAGGGAGCCCCGATTGGCGTGAATCCGAATTTCCTCACTGGCCTCACCACGCCCCCATTTCCCCCTCTCCTCCTCCTCCCTCTCCCCCTCCCCCTCCCCCTCCCCCTCCTCGCCCTCCTCCTCCTCCTCCCCCTCCTCCTCCTCCTCCTCCTCCTCCTCCTCCTCATCCACCTCCCCCTCCACCTCCAGGTCCCCCTCCCTCTCCTCCTCCTCCTCCTCCTCCTCCTCCTGCTCCTCTTCCTCCTCCTCTCAAGCCACTTGGGCCCAAGTTTTTGGGCTCGCTTCTGGGCCTTTCAGCAGGCGCTTGAGATCTCGCCTTCCCCCGGGAAGGTAGCTAACGTGGAAGCATTCAGTCGAAGCCATGGCCCCGCCGCCGCGCAAGCCGCCAGGGACCCGCGGCCCTCCTCCTTGGCAGTCTGTTCACAACGCTATGTGGCGTTGCGGGAAATGCGGCTGCGGGAAAAACATGGGACGTTTCTGGTTCTGCAAGCAGTGTCACAGTTTGCGAGCCGAGGTCGACGTCTCCACGCCCAAGCCACCTGGCGGTGTATGGGCGAACGGTGCTGGTGCAGCGGGGCAGGCCCCACCATCGGCGCCTCCTCCTCAGCCTCGCCCTGTGGGACCACAAGGAGGGGGAGGACAACCAGGAGCTGGTGCAGGCCAGGGCGTCATCCGCGACGCTGACCTCACGGATGACGAGATGCACCAGCTCATCTCACTCAACAGGAAGATGGGCAACCATGGACACGCCGCGGCGCTCCAGCAGCGCTTGGACAAAAGGAAGGCTGGCTCGGCACCTATACCGATTCAAGTGCAGGCGAATCAATCTGACCGAGCCAGGAAGGCCTTGGAAAAGAAACTGTCCAACGAGCTGGAGCAATTCGAGAAGTGGCAAACATGGTTGGCTGATAAGAAAAATTCTATTCACTCCCTTCATCAACAGTTGGTCGAAGAGAATGACCGCTACAAGAAGCTCGTTGCGCAGCTGCAAGCAGAGGTTGCACCACCAAGCTCTCCACCTTCTTCGGCTTCTCTTTCGCTCCAGGACTTACTGGACGGGAAGCAGCTATTCGACGCCACCAGTGTGGAGTCGTTCTTCAACGTGGACCCTGAAGTCTACGAGCTTGGCGAAGAGGACCGCAAGCAAATGGCGGCTCGTGCAGAGGACCTCAGCAAGCGGCTTGTCGAGACCACCCAGAACCTCTTCGGGGCGGCGGCCAAGCAGCTCGAGGAGGCCAGGCAGCTGCACAAGTCGCACGTCTCGGGCCTGGCGAAGCGTCGCAAGGCCGAGGGAGCGGCGATGCCTGGTGGTGGTCATGTGGATGACGAAGCTCGTGCGGCGGGACCTTCTCCTGCCGTTCAACCTGAAGATCACTCCGGAGCTTCGGCCAGTGCTGGCGTTTCTGATTCTGACTCGGCCGCCCGCTCCTCTGCTTTGCTTGCCCGCGCCGAGACGGTGCTGGGAGCCGACTTTCAACCACCTGAGCAATCTTTGCCCCCCACCTCGACTGCCTAGGTCGAAGTGGGGGGGAGATTTGAAGTCACCTGAGGCGCCAAGTTTTTTGATACCTCCTGGTCCCTCGGATCCGTCGTTGGGGTGCGGCCCTGGTTTGGGCGCCCGTGGGCCTATGTCAGGACCCAGTTTTGGCCCGTCGTCTGGCCCCCCTGTCCCCGAGTCCGACCAGCTTGCCCTCAGATTCCAGACGTGTAATGCCACCTCCTGGGGGCCATGTAAAGAATGGCTCGCCCGCACATCGGCCCATGTCGTGGCCGTTCAAGAACACCACCTCTGTAGTGATGAGTCGTGCCGCTCGGCTTTAGATTGGTGCCTCAGACATGGCTGGAAAGGCCTCTTCTCGCCAGCGCGTCCTGGAGTCGGCGAAGGAAGCTCAGGTGGTGTCGCCTTAGTCTGCCGATCCTTCCTAGGCCTTCACGACCTCCCTCAGGGGTCGGAATTGGTCCCAAGTAGGGCCATTGCGGGTCTGGTTCATCTCCCTGGAGGGCTTGACCAGCCCATCCTGTTCGCCTCGGTGTACATGCATCACTCCGAGGGGCTGACGGACCGAAATCTTGACATCTTGGGGAAGGTTGGGTCGGCAGCAGAGGTGTATGCTAGTGAATGTTTGGTCGCGGCTGATTTCAACATGTCGCCCGACCTCGTCCAGGACAGCGGGTTCACTGAACGCCTCCATGGGAACCTGATCATCCCCCAGGGCGAGGGGACCTGCCTCACCACGGGGGGCATCAAAATGCTCGACTATTTCGTTGCGACGAGTGGGGTCTCGAAGGTTATTCAGTCGGTCGACGTGGTTACCACCTCGCAGCTCGCTCCTCACTCACCTGTCGAAATCGTTCTGTACCCTCGTGCTTGTAAGATGCAGGCTTTGGGATTTTACAAACCTCCTCCCATCCCTGCCCAGCGGCCTATCGGGCCCTCTAAACGGCCTCCCCACTGGGGGCGGCTCCAGGGGCAGGCGAGTGCCCTTCTCGATTCTTTGGTCCCAGGGGAACCCGTCGGTCAGGCTACCCAAAAGTTGAGTAGGGTTTACGGGCGCTGGGCTCGTCTGGCGGAGTGTGAAATCGCTGATGCTGCACATGTCACCCTCCCGTACTACGGGGCCAGGGGTAAGGGCCCCAAGTTAGTCTGGCAGCCTGTCTTCAAGAGCGGCTCTTCCAAGGGCCGCCACCCGCGTCTGTTCGCCATCAAGTGGTTGTCCCACACCTTTAGGCACTGGCACGTACTCCCTCGCAGTTCGCAGGCGTGTGGCCGGAGGAGCCAGATGCTGCTGGAGATTCCCTCTGAGTTCGCGAGCGATCTGGATAGGTATCAGGCGCTCGTCAAGTCCATTCACTCGTTCGTGTCGATCGTCGCGGCTCCAGGTGGTCGGCTCTGCGTGGAGGATGAAGCTCATCAGGAGCACCTGTCGCACATCGTTGGCGAGCTGGATGCCGCCATAGTCCACGAGCAGTCGGATGCTAGGACTCAGGGAGGGAAAAGTTGGAAGGAATGGCTGTTGACCAACATTGAAAAGGGAGGAAGGAACGCTCACCTCGCTCGCAAGCCTGCTGCGGGCTGGAAGCCTACCACGACCCTCAGCTCGGCTGGGGTTGTGCTCTCTGACCCTCTTTCTCTGCTGGAGTCTCAGTCTTCGCTCTATGCTGAATTATGGGGTGCCAAGTCGACGGGGCCCCCCGCGCTCGATGAAGGTTCGAAAGGTATTTGTAGCCCCCTCCCTTTCTTGCAACCCGAATTTCTCAGGATGATCTCCTCCAGGTACTCCCCCAGGACTGCTTTTGGGCTCGACGGTTTCCACATGAAACACTACTCCTGGATGACCGACGATTGCTTGTACGTCGTGGGCCTAATGCTGGCCATCATGGAAATGACCTCCTCACTCCCCTTCCAGATCCAGCTGGTTCAGCTGGCGCTCATCATGAAGCCGCACGGCGGCTGGAGGCCGATTGGCCTGTTCTGCAGCATGTACAGATTGTGGGGGAAAGCGAGAAGGGTGATAGCACAGCAGTGGGAATTGGAGCATCCTCGAGCTTATTTCGCTGGCCAGTCTTTTGCTTCGGCCAGTGACGTCGTGTGGCGTCAAGGAGTCAGGGCTGAATGCTCCTATCGTCGTGGTTTGGTGGCGGCCGCGATTCTCTGGGACTTGTCCAAGTTTTGCGAAACCATCGGCCTCGGGCTTTTGGAACAGCGTTGCGTGCAACACGGGGTCCCTGTGGCCTTATATCGTCTCTCGATCGCGGCCTACCGAGGGGCCCGGTTTATTTGCATGGCTGGGTACGTCTCGGGCCCGCTGGTGGCGGCTCGAGGGGTTATCGCGGGTTGTTCGTTAGCCACGACATGGGTCAAGGTCTACATGATCACCCCTCTTGACTCCTTGCAGCTCGGGCCTAGCGTCCAGCTGGACCAGTACATCGATGATAGCGGGCTGTCTGCGGTGGGCTCCAAGGCCCAGGTCGTGCATGAATTAAAGGAAGCCTCGCAGGGCCTGCACGACGCTCTCACCTTGGACATGAAATGCAAGGTGGCGCCTGATAAGGCCTCTTTTGTCTGCTCATCTGCTGAGGTCTCTTCGCAGCTTCGTCAGTTCCTGGGGCCCCTCGCTGGGCCGATCACGGACAGTGCCGTGAACCTGGGGATCGACGATGCTGCAGGGAGACCCAGACGAGCCGCCAGGAGAGGCCACAAGTTTAGGGTCCGCGTGGACACCCTGAAAGCTTCTACAAAGAAGCTCGTCAAGCTGAGTTGCAGCCTCGGTAAGTATTGTAAGCGTATTTGGGTCTCTGGGACTTTGCCTGGGGTTCTCTACGGGGCGGAGATCCATGGGCTTTCGGACTTCGAGTTGGCGAAGATCCGTCGTGAAGCGGGGCGCGTTCTGAGACCTGGTGCGGGGGGGCGTTCGCTGACCGCCACCCTCCATCTGAACGATGACCCGACTTGGGTGGGGGCTGTGGCCCCCGTGGTTAGGTACGCCAAAGAAATATGGGCGCTCCAGACGGGTGCCTATCCCTACACGATCCCTTGGGACCAGTTGAGACTCAGCTGGGAGACCGTGTTCGCGGCGGCGGAACCTAGGTGGCGCGACGTCGGGGGACCTATTAGCGCCATGCGTCTTTCCCTTATTCGCATCAAGTGGTCTATGTCAGATTTCGTCACGATCGTGAACGATTTCGGGGAGACGATATTGCTGACGAGCGTGTCCCCAGCTATGCTGAAGAAAATGTTGCAGCAGGCCTGTCGGCGTGCCCTGGAGCGTGAGGCTTCGGCTAAGCAGGGCCTGTCTTGCGATCGATTGTGTTTCGACATCGTCCGATCTCGCCTCCGATCGTCGCGGGTCACCTCCCAGGAACGTGGATCGATCAGGAGCTTGACTTGCGAAGCGCTCTGGACTCGCGATCGGGCGATCAAGGTCGGGTACCGCGGTCTCGAGGATCGATGCGAGCTCTGCGGTTTCACTGGCGATTCGACCTTCCATCGACTCTGGCGCTGCCCTGCCGTCGCCTCCACGAGAGGGGAGACCGTTTCACAGAGTTTGATTGATGAAGCCGCTGACGCGGACCTGGCCGACCCCGAAGTTGCTCTGCTTTTCACCAGGGGTGTCTTTCCGCATCCTGGGGACGTCTTCCCTCGGCCGTCTCGGGAGTTTTTGGATTGTGAATTTCAGGCCAGATGTGAATGGGTTGAGCCCCCCCAGGACGGTGGCACCTTTGATGGCGATATCTTCCTTGACGGTAGCTGCTTCCGTCATGAAATTGCCGAGCTCTCGCGTGCTGGATATGGGCTCGTTAAGGTCGACTCTTCGGGTGACAGGGTGTGCCACATCTATGAGCCTATCCACGCCCCTTTCCTCCAGACCTCCCAGTGTGCCGAATTCGCTGCCCTGGCCCGCGGCGGAGTGGAGGTCATGAGTGACGCGAGCCAAGGGCCCGTCGCCGAGATCGGCGAGGACCGACATCCTGGGCAGGAGCAGCCTCGCCTGTCAACTTTTTATAGCGACTGCTTGAACGTGGTCTCTCCTTGTGCTGGGGACAAGAGTTCGCAGCTGAGCTATCGCCGCCCGTTCGCGGGGCTGATGATGATGTATCGTCTTGGGGTGTCGTCGGTCCAGTCGGTCGTCAAAGTCGATGCCCACAAAGACCCGCACGAAGCGGGCATATCCTCCCTGGAGCGCTGGAGGCGCCTCGGGAATGACCTGGCGGATCGTGCCGCCAAGCAGGGTGCTGGACTCCACCCCCGTCCGTCGGAGGCCGAGGAGAGCCGGCTGCAATGGCAAATTAAGATAGCCAAGGCGGTCTGCAAGCTCGCAGCGAAGCTGCTGCCAGCGTGGCCGCCGTTGGATTTGACCGACTGCTACTGGGAGCGCCCTCCCGTCGAACCTGCTCCTCCCTCGCGGCCCCATGCTTGGACGTGGGAGAAGCGCGAGGGGTATTTCGGATTTGCTTTCTGGCGTTGCCAGCACTGTTTGATCGTGCGCAAAGGACGCTCGATACCGCCGCCAGGTTCTTGCTCGAATGAATCGAAGCTGGACGGCCCATCCCTGAGAGCGCTCGGGCACCATGCCATATCGCTGCTCGTTTCTGATGGCTCCTTCCTGACTGTCTGTCTTAGGTGTCATTCCTACGGCTCGCTGGGTTATATTCGGGGCTTAGCTCAGCGATGTCAGCCACCGACGCGTAAGAAGACCGAGACTTTCAATGCTATTTGTAAGGGTCGGCATCCGTCGAAATCCGAGCTTCGTGTGGAGCCCGCGCCGTGGCGTTAGTTCTTTCCCGCTGTTTCCACGGCACTGCGGGACTGGCAGCCGTCTCGGCGTGAGTCCCCCCGCAGTTGCCGTGACGTCAGCGGTGGGGCAGGGCTGGTGGCGAAAGTGGCAGGAGGCGCCACCCAGCCCTGCCCCCTCCTCTGGGGGGAGGCGCCGCCCCCCCAGAGAGTGTGGCTTGGCAGTAGTGGATGTCAAATCCTCTTCCTCCTCCTCCTCCTCGTCCTCCTCCTCCTGCTCCTCCTCCTCCTCCTCCTCCTCCTCCTCCTCCTCCTCCTCCTCCTCCTCCTGGTCCCCCTCCTGGTCCTCTTCGTCCTCCTGCTCCTTCTCCTCCTCCTCCTCCTCCTCCTCCTCCTCCTCCTGGTCCCCCTCCTCCCCCTCGTCAACGCAAGTAGATTTGCCAGAGTCCAAGGGAAACCTGCCTCCTGGAGGAAGCGGGCTCCAGGTGCTGCTTGTGTACTGCCGCTCTCGGAGCCCCCGCGGGGCCCTCACCTGGCCCCAGGACCCTCCAAGAAAGGGCCGGAGGGGAACAACACACACAGACACAATGAATCGTCGATTCCAAAGACAATCAAGGGAGGAAAAAACACCCAGACCAGACAATTGGCGTTTACTAAACGGCCCTGGGGCGCGTTTACTAAAAGCCTTCCCCTGTTAGATTTCTTCTTTGGGCGCGTTGACCAAACGACTTCGCGTGTCGGGGTGGTCATTCTGGGGTGGATTTGTGTGCCCTCTGGAAAAGATGGGAATGTCTGGGAAGTGGGGGGGGATGCGAAAACCTAGAAGATCGAAGGAAGCATGGGGGATCCTTGGAAATTCCTGCTTGTTTCTTGGTGTGCCCCAGGGCCCCGTTTGATTTGAGGACTGGATGCCATCCGGGGCGACGAACCGGTCCATGGTGTGCCCCCTTGGCACGGTCCAGGCCCCGCTTCCCCCTGGGCCCGGCTTCCTCAGACCGCCGACCTCGTGGGATTCTCGTGACGTGGACCCCCGCCCAGAGATCCAACGTGCGGTCGGCCTTGATTTCGTATTGTGGAAGTCGATTACTGGAGAGGCAGCATGCTGCCAAATGAATTCCAGATGTCAAACATATGTGTCAACTATGTGTTATCTATGATAATCACATGTGTGAGACATGTTTAGAACATCTTTTACACATCTTAAACATATCATTAGAGTGATAGGATTGGTAGAGTGTCCATTGTCATGGCATCCACAATATTTGTAGGTCGACCCTTCCAAATCAAGTGTACCCGTGCGTCCTGTGTCTCGCGGCCCATGCTTTCTACCTTCTACATTTCCAAGGCAACGTGGCCCTCGGAAGGGTCTTGCGTCCTCGCGCGTGTCCTGTCCGATCAAGTCCGACTGTATCGACAGAAATCAGGACGGAGGTTTTTCACAGTGTTCGGCCTCTATAGGGGGCCCTTACCGGGCCTCGGGACCGTGAAAGAGCGGCTCAGAACAAAGGCTGGTCCCAGGGGATGGGTCGAGATTTCTCGGGGTCGACGTTGTGAAAAAATCACGTCGGGGAACTTGGTCTGGACCCCTTCCGGGGGACCGGTTCATGCATCCCGGGTCGTTTCTCGAAGGTCCTGGGGCCCAGCGAGGGCCCCCAGGGGCCGAGAGCGACCAAGAACCATCCGTCGTGTTCCCTTGATGATTCGAGGGCCCAGACCCGCTCGTGCCACAGACAACAATCATCCGGGCTTCCCTCGGTATCGTTTAATCTGATCCCCATCCCCATCCCCATCCCCTTCGAGACCCCCACCAAATTACCACCCCAGTTGGGGATACACCGCTCGAAACCCGAAGGGAACGACCTATATCCCCATCTAGGGGGGGAAATCGGCCAGTGGGGCCCAGGCCACGCCGCTGGGGATGGGGACTGGCTCAACGATGTTCAATCCTGCAGTCGTCGGGCCGGGACGAAGGCACCCACCTGGATCACCGCCAAGGGTGCTACTTAGGGGAGAGGGGGGGGAGTAGAAGTGGAAGTGGGCTCTGCCTGGCCAGACCTACGAGCGTGTTTCTTGATTGCTTGGGGCATGGTGGGCATTACAGCCCCCGACTTCCTCCCCCCCCGCATAACGTAACGCCCCTCCCCCCCCCAGTGCGCTCCGGGCACTGCCGCCGTGCGCATCGGGCACAGGGCGGGGGGGAGGCGTCACAATATACCCCCCCCCTCTCGGCCCCCTCCCCCCCCCTGGAGTGCCCACTGTCGCCGAACATGAAGGAACGCGCTCTCTAGCTCGTGCAGGGGTTGCAGATGCCCTCTTTGGCTGGAAGGGGGCAGGTGACTCCGCTGAGTGGGCCAGGGAGGAGCGAAGAGGAGTGGCAGCGGCGAGGGCGCCAGCGGCGGGATCCCCAGCCCAGGCACGGCACCCGCCGCGGTGCGGGTCCGCGTGTTGCAGCTGCCATGGATGGCCGGCCGGGCCTCGGCGAGCGCGTGCTCGTGAGGGCCTCGGGCCGCTTCGCCACGGTGCTGACGGACGACGGCAGCGAGGTACCCTTCAAGGCGCCCGGGGTGGGCGGGGAGCCCCGCCTCTCCCCTCGGCGCAGGCCGCTGCCGCCTTCTGCGCCCGCTGCGCCTCGTCCTCTTCGTCCTCGCCGGCCGCCTCCTCCTCCTCCTCTCGGTCTCCCACCTGTCCCGTTCCCTCCCCCATCTCCCCCCCTGTCGTGGCCTGCAACAGGCCCGGACTTGCAACAGGCGCATCCCTGGTGGGCCCAATCCCGCCGTCCCCGCCGCGCTGGCCCACAGGCCCTCCGGGGCGGCGGTGCTCGCAGCGGGGCGGTCAGAGTCCTGAGGGGCCTTCCTACACCTTGAAATTCCATTTCACAGTCTTTCCCTCTCTTTCGTTGTCAACGTTGCAGCCCGCCCTGGACCCACCCGGAAGATCCCCGCGCACGGCTTAGGAACCCTCCTCCTCTTGTGCGATTTGTTTCTCTCCCACCTCGGGCCCTGATCATCTGGCTGCGTCTGAGCTACCGTCGCCCCGTACTGAACTTTCCCATTATTGTTATGAGGTGCACTCGGCCTTGACTAGCAGGTGGACCCTGCCAAATCGAGGGTTTGACCATTGCGTCCTGTGTTTCGCGACCTGTGCCTTCTGAACTCCTACGGCAACGTGGCCCTCGGACGGGTCTTGTGTCCTCTGGCGTGTCCTCTCCAATCAAGTCCGCCCGTATGTATATGGTGAGGCAGGTTGGCGCAGCCAAACCCAGACCGCCGACGTGATGATTTTTGCTTCATGACGTCGACTCCAAGAGGTCTCGACCTATCCCCTGGGACCGGTTTCTCGTCGTCCTGAGTCGTTTGTTGACGGTCCCGAGGGCCGGCAAGGGCCCCCCGAGGACGAAAATAGTGTAAAACGTCCCGTCTCACTTCAGTTCTTGATCACCAGAAAGAATTTGGAGCACCAAAGAAGTACCAACATTCGAGGGTTTTCGCGGGTCGAGCCCTGGGAGGCGGTACTCGTTCGACACCTGTTCGATATTTCTCCTGGTGCACGAAATGTTTTCTTGTATGTGGCCCTTTAGTACGATGGGCGCAACATGTCGGCACGAACGACATGGGTACGGAAAGAATGGGTACAGTGCCAAACAGCAGTTCCTGTTCATTTTGAACAGGACTCGCTGTCCGCGCCGCCGCGGCTGTGTCCGTTTGAGACAAAAGGCCGCCTGCCCAACAGCGGCCTCTGTTGGTTTGGGCCAACATTTGCTGTTGGGCATTGTACCCATTTTTTCCGTACCCTTTTCGGGCGTCCATAACATCCCTCCCGCCGTAATTTGTGGTTCTCTGGGAGGGCCTGGACCCAGTCCTTTTTATTCGCCTGCCTACTCCATGTTTCTACCTACTTCTTCCGACCGACGTGTACCCCAAGGCAAAGGATTTCTGGATCCGCGTATGGAAGAAATCATCTGGGAGTATGTGTGGGGCTGAACGCCGTCAGTTTGCTAGAGTCGGGCGACATCGCGCGTCCTTCGCCATCGGACAGCCGCGGGGATTCAAAGGCTGAACGATCCACGCAGTGCCAGGGACCAACGCCGAGGTCGCCACGGAAAGGAGGTACTTGGGGGAACGAAGAATGACATAAACATTGAAAATTCGGAGGGCCACGCGGATTTCTCGGATCGGCGTTGGGCCCCCCTCCCTAGCGCGCGGAGCGCGCCAGGGGCGGCGCCGGAGGCGCCGCCAGGGGGGCCAGACCTCGCCCTGCCGCCCTCGCGCCCCGCCGTCTGCCTCGGCGCCCCAGCCCGCCCCGCCCTGCCCCGCCTGCTGGATACTCCTCCTCGATCATCCTCATCCTCGATCCTCCTCCTCCTCCTCCTCCTCCTCGTTCCTCCTCCTCCTCGTTCCTCCTCTTCTTCCTCGTTCCTCCTCCTCCTCCTCCTCGTTCCTCCTCATCCTCGTTCCTCCTTCTCCTCGATCCTCCTCGCTCCTCCTTCTCCTCGATCCTCCTCGTTCCTCCTCCTCCTCCTCCTCCTCCTCCTCCTCCTCCTCGTTCCTCCTTCTCCACCTCATCCTCATCCTCATCCTCGATCCTCCTCCTCCTCCTCCTCGATCCTCCTCCTCCGCCACGATCCTCCTCCTCCGCCACGATCCTCCTCCTCGATCCTTCTCCTCCTCCTCCTCGATCCTCCTCCTCCTCCTCCTCGATCATCTTCTGCTCTTCTGGCCGCAGGCCGCCTGGCCTCCTTCAGGGGCAACGCTCAGGGTCAACGAGAGGGGAGTGATACTCCGAGCTTCTTACGAAGCGTCGGGGGGGCGTCACCCCCGCCGACAGCCCCACATCGACCCCCGTCGCGGGCAGCCACCGCGCACCGAAGGCGCTGCGATCCCCGTCGAGGCGCGACGACGAGGCGAGGTTGACCCCCGTCGGGGGGGTACCCCCCCACTCTTATTGAGAAACCCAGAGTAGGGGGGGGGGGGGGACAGGCATACGGTGGAGGCCCATGCCAAGAGACACCCTGCTTGCCTCCAGGGTGCCCTGCCCTGGGTTCCTAGGAAAGCTTGACGTAACCACGCCAAACATCCATACGTCCTGGGGTCTCAGGGTTTGGTTTTTTGCGGAAGGTTTCCTGTGGTCGGGCCTCGACTGTAGGCATAGGGGGGGCGCATCGACAACCAATCGCCCACTGATTGCCGATGGGGGCCCGATAGCCTCAACCTGTCAAGGAGCGTCAATATCGAGGGCATGTTGCCGACCTATCGGCGAGGTATCGCCGATTACAGGTCGATGCTTCCCCCCATGTGTTTACCCCCCTACCGTTGCCCCTCAGCGCACGCTGTCCGGGCAGCGCGGGGTGAGGAGGCCCTTGCGCATCTGTGGCAAGATTCAGTGCAGTCCATCGCAGCCTGGCACGCAACCGTCACGCGGTGCTGCGATGCCCTCTGAGGCTGTTTTTCGTGCTCATGTGCGTTTTTTGCACTCAGCTTCTCTCTCTCTCTCTCGTTGCCCCTCAAACGTATCCTTTCACCGACCCCTATCCCCATCCCTATCCCCATCCAGACCCCCACCATCTCGGCATCCCAGTTGGGGATATGCCCCTCGAGACCCGAGGGAAACGGCCTGTATCCTTATCTGCAAGGGCGCCCTCGAGGGCGCGAAGTTATTCGCGCTTCGCGCTTCGCGGTCCTCGTTCCTTCTCCCCCTCCTCCTCGTCCTCCTTTTCTCCCTTTGGGGGGGCGGCGCGAGAGCGCGAAGTTATTCGCGCTTCGCGCTTCGCGCAGCGCGAAGCGCGAAGTTGGGAGCCCACGATCTCGGCATCCCAGTTGGGGATATGCCCCTCGAGACCCGAGGGAAACGGCCTGTATCCTTATCTGGGGGGGGGGGGGGGGGGGGGCAAATCGGCCAGTGGGGCCCAGGCCACGCCCGTTGGCCCATGGGGGCAGAGGTCGGTTAACAAGGGCTCCCTCGAGGGCGCGAAGTTATTCGCGCTTCGCGCTTCGCGGTCCTCGTTCCTTCTCCCCCCTCCTCCTCGTCCTCCTTTTCTCCCTTTGGGGGGGCGGCGCGAGAGCGCGAAGTTATTCGCGCTTCGCGGAGCGCGAAGCGCGAAGTTGGGAGCCCTTGGTTAAGCTCTGCGGCGAAGAGGGGGAGATGAGAAGGAGAAGGCCTTCTCAGAAGGTTCGGAAGTTCCCCAGCCTTCTAAGAAGTTTCCTGAGCCTTTCCCGACGACAGACACAACTCCTCAGAGGGCGCGAGGGCGTCTGAGAGACCCCGCCGCCTTCTGAGAAGGCCTTCTCCTTCCCATTTCCCCCCCCCCGCGCTCGCCACCGATGAGCGGTGCTTAGCTCAGGGGGGATGCGGTCGTTGCCTCCCCTTGCTGTCCCCACGCGCGCGCACGTCGCTTCCCCCCTCCACCGTTCTCTTCGTCCCCCCGTCGCAGCCGTCCGCAGAGCAGAGGCCCGGGGAGGCGGGATGCTGCTGCGGGATGCCGCGCGTCTGCTCTGCCTGCCTCTGCTGCTGCGTTCTCCTCCCCCTTCCCCTCTCCCCCTCCTTGTCTGCCGTCTTCCCCTTTTTCCCCTAGCCACGCGCCTGCGTTGCTTGCCTTTGCTGTTGCGTTCTCCCCCTTCCCCTCTCTCCCTCCTTGTCTGCCTTCTTCCCCTTTTTCCCCTAGCCGCGGGGCGACTTTCCTCCTCCTCCTCCTCCTCCTCCTCCTCCTCCTCCTCCTCCTACTGCGCTGGGAAAAGAAAGAGTGTACATCACCGCCGCCCCCCCTCGGGGACCCCGGCAGGCGGCGGGTGTGGACATGCTCGCGCCTTCGGTCAAGGGCATACAAAACGCCCCTACCCTGGTTTACGAGGCGCTGTGCGCTGGAACTCCTGTGGGCTGACGGGGTAAACCCTGCGTGATATGCAGCGTCCTGGCGGCTCTCTACGCTTGGGGGGAGCTCAGGAGGTTTACAGACCACGCGCGTGTAACCCAGGGTAGGGTCGTTTTGTTATTCCTCAATTCGGGCGGCCACACATCCACTGCCATCCCAGAGGTCCCCGCGTATCGATCGCCGGGCGGTGGGTGCCGATGCATCCCCCGCATCGCAGATGCCCCCGACCGGCAGGAAGCTGCCCCCTCCCCCTTCCCTTCCCCCTCCCCTTCCCCCTCCCCCTCCCCCTCCTCCTCCTCCTCCTCCTCCTCCTCCTCCTCCTCCTCCTCCTCTTCCACCTCCTCCTCCTCCTCCTCCTCCTCCTGCCCTCTCCTATGCATGTCAGCCGTTCGTATACGGGCAGGTTGAAGCCGCGATGACGCGGCGGCGACCACATCGCGGGCGCGTAAGGTTGAACGGCGCCAGCGGCCCGCTGTAGGACGATCTGCGCAGTGGGAGAGGCGCGATCGTTCCAAGGTTGAATGCGGCACGTGGTGTCAGGTACCAGCTCGACTACACGTAAGAGTTACCTTTCGCCGGAGTGACCTTTCGGGCGGGATCATCGGACTCCCCCCGATCGCCGAGCGCGATGCGATATAAGCGGCCCGCGCCCTTGGGTTTGGCTCCCTCGCGCCCCCAAAAGCTGCGCACCAAAGGTCACTCTTACCCAGCGCCAACGTTGCCACGACGTAAACTTGACGTGCGCGCAGTTGATCATGGAACACTTCTTCGCAGGAGCTCTGCTCGAGCGCAGCTCCCAGGCAGCGATTCCTATACGCCATCGCGCAGCCATCCGACAGCAGCCAGGCAGGGCCTGACAGCTCTCTCGCGGGGGGGGTGGCGCGAGTACCTCGTAGATCTCCTAAGTCGGAAACTGGAACGTATACATGACCAGTGGCGGGCTGTTCCGTGAATCCCAAAACTTCTTGAGGGTCGGGGACGACGTCGGGGTGGTGTGGTGTGTACTTGCTCCCCGGATTTCTCTGGGAAGCAGTGAAATATGTATACACCAGGATCCCGTATACACCAGGATCCGCTTCCTTGTTTGCAGACTTGCGTGCAGGGCCTGAAAAATGCGTCGGTGTACAGTGTTTGGTTCCCTACTAAGGTACTCCAGACTTCGTAATAAAAGGGAGGGGGTCTGGACCCTCCAAGACAAGCCATTTCAGACCTCCCCCGTGGGAGAACCCTCCAAAACATCGTCCCCAGACCCCCCCAGGCTCTCCAAGATAGCCTGGAAGAGACCCCCCCCGAAATGAGACCCCCCTCCCTCGTGGCCTCTTGGAGCCTCGGTGGGGCCGTTTGGGGCCTCTTGGCGCCTCTTTTTAGGCCTCTTGGAGAACTCGGGAGGGCTCCAGGGGGCCTCCTGAGCTCTCGTGACGGTCTCTTGGGGGGCTTTCGGCAGGCTCTTGGCGGTATTTGTTGGTCCTCTTGGGGCCTGGGGCCTGACGTTGTTGGTCCTCTTGGGGCCTCACGGGAGCGTATTGGGGCGTCTTGGGGGTGTCTTGGAGAGTCTCTTGGGGCCTCTTTCGGGGTCCTGGGCGCCTTCTGGGGCGGAGGGCTCAATTTTTTAGTTCTTGGTTCCCTCCTTGAGCCCCTCTTGGGCCCGTCTTGGGGCCTCTTGGTCCGCCTTGGGCAGCACTTGGGCCGTCTGGGGGGCGCTCTTGGGCCGCTCCGGGGCCGTCTTGGGAGCCTCGTGGGCCGTCTTGGAGCAGTCTTGAAGGCCTCTTGGGCCCTCTTGGAGCGTCCGGAAGCGAAAAAGCCAGAACGCAAAAAAACATAGAAAAAACATATGAAAATCAACGATTTTGGCAACTTGGGGCCCTCTTCGGAGGCCTCTTGGAAGGCCCTTGGAGCGTCTTGGAGGCCTCTTGGGCTGTCTTGGGGCCATCTGGGGCGTCTTCGGGCGATATTTGGCCGTCTCGGGCCTCTCTTGGACCGTCTAGAAAGCTTCTCGGGGCCCTCTTGGACCGATCTGGAGCCCTCTTGGACTCCGAAACAGAACTCCGGCATCTTTGGCCCGACCTTGCCGGGACCTTGCCGGGGACATGCCGGGGACTTGCCGGGACCTTGCCGGGGTACTTTTCGTCCGGGGACCCCCAGGGGCCGCCCCGCGCGCGCGAACTAGAAATACTGTTAACCAGGTACCGGAGATCTTAGCACGCCCTGGCCCGTTGGGCCGGCGAATTACGAAATCTGGAGTAACTTGAGTTTGGAAAAAATCAGGCGCAGGGCGCATCTGGAAAGAACTCTTTGCAAGAGGTGAATGGCTCCAGGGATTCCGGCAGGCTGGGCCAGCCAGCGTCATTCCCACGGCTGCCAGCAAGACATCCTCGCAGCAGGTTGCTGGACCCTGCAGCGTATTCCACAAGCGCTTCCGAAGCCGTTCCACACACGTGGCCCGCCAGCGTCTACGAGCTTCCTAGGCTGCGCTCTTCCTGGGCTCGTGCCAAGCTCATACGCTCGCGTGCAGCTCCAGCGTATCCTGGGTTTTCGCGCCCTTCCCAGGCAGGTCCGGGACGCTTGCTTTCCGGCGTGCCGGAGGAGACTCTTGTGGCTGTCCTTGGGCCCGTCTGAGGCTGGTATGAGCTATTCTTGGGGCTGTGGTGATGGGCCTGTTTTCCACCACCACCACCACCATAAGATGGAGGGGGCGGGGGTCCTCCTCCTGCTGCTCCTCCTCGACTTCCTCCTCATCCTCCTCCTTCTCCTCTTCGTCCTCCTCCTCGTCGTCCTCCTCCTTCCCCCCTCCACCTTATGGTGTTGGTGGTGGCGGAAAACAGGCCCATCATGTGGTGGACCGTCTTGGAGTCGCTTTGGAGTGCTTTTGGCCAATCTTGGGGCCGTTTGGGGGGATCCCGAGGAGTCCCCGTCGACCGCTGGAGAGCCGGCTGGGGCGGAGGGGGCAGTCGGAGGCATACTGGAGGCCACAGGGGAGTTCCACAATGACAACCAAGTCGGGAATATCATGGTGCGGCTGTTCTTTGCATCCCCTGCCTGAAGGGCTCGGTGGGAGCGTCTTGCGGTCTTTCCAGCGGCCTGTAGGGGCTGGTCCAGGTTCGCTGGGCTGGTTGATTGCCGTTGTGTATGCCTCGTGGCTTCCTAGTTAGTATCATTGCATGCTTCTCGCTACCTCTCTTGGAATTTGTCCTTTCCTGCTTAGGGCCAAGCAAACATGTGCCGACGTTGGCGCGCAATTTGTCTTCGCAAAGTCGCGCCTAAGCGTCCTCGTTTTCAGTGTGGCGTGCCGCGCTCCTGGCCCGCGTAGGCCACCGCGTAAGGTCGCCCTGCCATCTCGCGTAAGACCCATTTCTCCTCGTCGCGCAAAGTTTTGTCCCGTGACGTTTGCCCCTGCACGTTTCCATGACCAGGGCTGGACCTAAATTGTGTTTTTGGCGATTTCGTGGGCCGTTTTCGTTTCGATTTCGGTTTGCGGTAACGGCGGGTTCAAGACAAACGCGAGGGAAAACGAAAACAAAACGAAAACGAAAAACACCGTTCAGTTTCAGCTTTGTTCCATGACGGATCTGGTTTCTCTCTTTATTGCCGCGATCCAGGTGCAGTTCGAGGACCAAGAGCTGCCGACCGTAGACTGGATCGGCCTCCAGGACTACAAAGAACGGTTGCGGCGGCAGGCTCGGGACACCCTGGCTGGAAGTTTCACTTGTGCCGACCCCTGCCAGGGCCATCCAGGCCTGCGTATGACCTCTCTCTCTATATATATATAGTGTTTGTCTCTCTCTCTCTCTCACTCTCTCTCTCGCTCTGGGTATCCCTCTCTCTATATATATATATATATAGATCTCTCTCTCTCTCTCTCTCTACGTGTACATGTGTTCGTATAGATATAAGTACATGTATACATACCCATGTTTAGACAGATGTACGACCACAACCACACACACACACCTATGTATACATACATATATATATATACACTATCATACGCACCTCTCCGAGGGAGTAGAGCTCAGAGGCTATTAATGCGCACGCGTCCGCGATTTTTCTGGGCGTTTCGCTCGGGACATCCTCGAAATTCTGAAAATCGGTGGCACCCCTCACGCAGATCGCGACGTCAGGGTTCAAAACCACATGGGAAATTCAACATTTTAACATAAAACCTTCAAACACACATAGTAATTTCAATAATTGTGACCCCGATTCTCAGTGAATGGCGGTTTCGCTTGAAAAATCCTTCCAAAATCAAGCCCCAGACCCCGCCTCGGAGCTTCCTGGGGGCCTCCTGGAACCTCCTGGGGCCTCCTGGGCCTTCTGAACCTTCTGGCACCCCAGACCCCGCCTCGGAGCCTCCTGGGGGTGTCCTGAAACCTCCTGGGGCCTCCTGCGGCCTCCTGGAGCCTCTTGGGGCCTCCTGAAGCCTCCTGGGGTCTCCTGGGGCCTCCTGCGGCCGCCTGGGGCCTCCTGGGGCCTCCTGGGGCTTCAGAACTACATGCACACAGAGACACACATCACGCCCAACACATCACACGCTAGACAAACATAACACACACACACAACACCTACAACACACAAAAAGCACGCACCACACGACGCAGACATCACAAACACACACACACACACACACACACACACACACACACACACACACACACGCTCAACACTCACAATCCTGGGGCCTCCTGGAGCCTCTTCTGGTATCCAAGTCGGGCCTCCTAAGGCTTCCTGGGGGCCCTGGCACACACATCGCAAGGTGTGGCAACCCCACTTGCGCTCGAGTGCGACTGCTTCAAACGCCCCTTCAGTTTTTTTGTATGAGCCTGGGCACACACGTGCCACTTGTATATAAACGCTTCGTTCATTCCGCCTGCCCGTATTGGTGCACGGCTGTCGAGTGCACGGTTGTCTTGCAGGGTCGGCGGTTGTTTTTATCTGATTATGTTCGGCACATTCGCCACCGTGTTTGGGTGGTGGCTCTGAGGCTTCGTGGACGTTCGTTGGGATCTCGTTGGATGCCTCTCGAGGGCTTCTTGGAGACTCCCGAGAGTCGTTGTCGAGCCTCTTGGGGTCTCTTTCGGGCCCCTTGTCGCCTGTTAGGGCCTCTTGGGGGCCTCTGGGGGCCTCCAGGAGGCCTCTTGGAGCGGAAAGCTCGGATTCTCAGTTTGTGGTCTCCATGTTGGGCCCCTCTTGGGGCCCTCTTTTGGTCCTCTTGGACCGTTTTGGGCGCCTCTTGGGCTGTCGTGGGGCCCTCTTGGGGGGTCTTGGGGCTCTCATGGAGGCCTCTTGGGCCGTCTTGGGGTTGTCTTGGAGGCTTCTTGGGCCGTCTTGGAGCGTTGGAAACGCGAAAAGGCTAGGAGGCAAACGACCTTGCAACACCCAATGGAAATCAATGGTTTTGGCGCTCTGAGGCTTCGCGGACGTTCATTGGGATCTCGTTGGATGCCTCTCGAGGGTGTTCTTCAAGACTCTCGGGAATCGTTTTCGAGACTCTTGGGGGTTCTCAGTTTGTGGCTCAAGCAATTGGGGCTCAAGTTCTTTTGGGCCTGCCTCTGTACCGTCTCGTGGTGCTTGAGGTCACGTCTCCCGAGGGAGACCGCCAAACCAGAGGCAATCGCTACCAGATCAGTATCTCTCTCGCCATGTCTCCTCCTCGTCGCAAGGGCGGCGGCTGGACGGGCTGGTATGGCCATCGTGCTGAGCATGACCAGGTCTCTCCTTGGAAGTGTGGTCGTTGCGGCTGCGCCAAGAACTTGGGGATATTTTGGTATTGCAAGCAGTGCGGTGGCAAGAAAAGGGATTGCGACGTACTACTCCGAGGTGCTGGAGAGCTATGGTCCGAATGGGAGCGGTCACGTGGTGGCGGACCGCCCGACCCTGCGCCCGTGGGGCTTCAAGGGCGTGGGCCCCCACCAGCAGCTGCCATCGTCGGGAACCAGGAGGCTTTGTCGGACAGCGAGACCCAGCAGCTCATCGAACTCAACAAGAAGATCGGCAATCAGAGTGTGGCCACGGCGTATCAACTCCGCCTCGACCAGCGTCGACATGCAGGGGGGCCCATTCCGCTCCAGACGCAGGCCTCGACCGTGGACCGCCACATCAAACAGCCCGAGAAGAAGCTCAACGCCGACGTGGGCCAGTATGAGCGTTGGAAAGAGTGGCTCGACGCTAAGAAGGAATCCATCGCCAAGACCAGAGACGAGCTGCGTGACGAGATTGCTAAGTACAAAGGCGTGGTGGAGCAATTGTCCAGCCAATTGTGTTCGCCAGCTCCGACCCAGAACAAGACCCAGGTCGCGCTCCAGGAGTTGCTCAGCGGCAACGGCGAGTTCCTCGACCTCTCCAGCGTGGAGAGCGCTTTCGGGGTCGACGCCGACGTCTACGATATCCAAGAGTCTGATCGGGAGGAGCTCGCGGCCAGGTCGCAGCAACTACGTGAGCAGATCTCCAACGCGGCCAAAGACCTCTTCGGCCAGGCGTCTGAAAAGTTCGAGGAGCTCAAAAAGGCCCACAAAGTTCACGTCTTGCGTCTCGGCAAGAAGCGCAAGAACAACGAAGGTGAAGCTACAAGCGGATCCTCCTGATTCAAGAGCTGGCGGTGGAGCAGCATCTAGTGATGGAGCTGGGGGAGCGGCTCCTGAGAATACGGCAGCGAAGGAGCACGGCAGTGCGGGCCACGGGTCAGCGACCTCATCGGCCTCGGCACTCTTGTTATCTGCAGAGAAGCCCTCGGGTCCACTTCCTCAGCAGGCAGCCCCCCTGCCGTCGCGTAGTCGGCAGGGGGGCTTTCATGTGCACGGATCAGTTGATTTCCCAAGTGGCCCAGCGGCCGCTTCCTCATCCCCACCGGCGTCAGATTCGTTCAGAAGTACTACGTCGGGAAGTTCATCGGCGAGAGCTCCCTCGTCGGCTGCGTCGGCTGCACGGGCTCCGAGGAGTTTTGACAGCCAGCGCCGCTCGTCGGCCAGCAAGTTGGCCAGCAAATGTTTTAGGCCCCCCTCTGAAGGAGCCCTTCCATCTGACCCCTCCAAGTTTTTATCAGTGCCCCCCCTGCCCTGCCTGCGCGTTTCAGTTAGCAGTTGACGATAAATTGCACGGCGTGGTCATCGACTGAGTCCTGGGTTGAATCTTCGGCTGCGCACGTGCCCCTGGTTCAGGAACATCGTTTGGTTATTGCCGATGACATCGCGAAGGCAGGACAATGGGCACTAAAGAGGGGATGGAAAGCTAGATTCGCTCCAGCGTTACGAACCAGCGAGGGGGGTTTCTCGGGAAGGGGGGGGGCGATTTTGGTTCGGCAGTATCTTGGATTTCACGATCCCGGTTTTGAAACTGTCGTCGTACCCCGCAGAGCCCTGAGTGGAATCGTTTCGTTCCCTGGAGCTCCTCAAACCTTATTCACGGCCTTCTACCTTCATGACAGTGAGGACCTCTCTGACAGGAACCTCGCAATCCTTGCAGCAGTTGGGTCTCGGCACAGCGAGTTTGCTGGCCCACATTGTATCGGAGGTGGTTTCAACGTGACGCCTGCAGTGGTGGCCGAGTCGGCACTGCCAGGCTGGTTGAAGTTTAGCATCATTTTCACGAAGCAAGGGACATGTACCAGCACGGGAGGAGCTCGGACGTTAAACTTTTTTTTTTTCTCATTTTGTCTGCAGGCCTGAGCCGTTGCTTGCAGTCGGTCGAGACGGTGCTCGGCGCCGATATCAAGACGCACACCCGCGTGCGCATCCCCTTCCACCCGCAGTTGGCTGAGCTCAAGACCCTCCAGTTACTGAAGCCCCCGAAGCTTCCAGCGGAGCGGCCAGTTGGCCCTCAGCCTCAGCCACCAGACATCTCAGAGGTTTTGGACTGCGCCAACTATGGCATGGATCTTGTTCCTCGGAAGGCCCCCAGAGGCCAAGTGTAGCGGCATCTCGACGCGCTGTGCCGTATCTGGGCTGATTCCGCCGAGTGAGAGTTATCCCAGGTCCTCCAGAAGGACCTGCGTATCTGGGGTGCCAGGGGCAGAAGGCCTCGCCTGGCCTGGGTCTCGGCTCCTGGCAGGGACTCCAAGGCCTCCTACAAGGATCCCATGTTGTTCGCTGGCAGACGGTTATCTCTGCCCATTCTGCTTCTCCTGGGGGGCAATGGGCGACGGAGGTTCAACAATTACAAGCACCACATCCTGGAGGCGCCCCAAGACATCTTCGAAGCTTTGGGGGACATCCTGGAGGTATATATGAAGTGTTATGTTTTGGTCTTGGGGTTCGAGGATATTCATGCTGAGTCGGGAGGTGTTCTTGAATGCCAAGCTCTTCTTGAACCCAGATTAGATGAGTATGCTAGGGCTTCCTCGTAGCGATCTTTGAAGGCGTGGCGCAGTTGGCTTTTAGACGGTATCGACCAGGGAGGGCGTAATGCCCATAGGTGGACCAAGGAGCTGAAGCCTTGGGTGGCGACCATCACGCTCTCGGCCGAAGGACTCGTCCTCTCGGACCCTCTGTCGCTTCTTCAGGCTGAGGGGATCAGGTTCGGTGAGTTGTGGAATTCGAAGTCCCACCCCCCTGAGGCTTGCAAGGAGCCCATCGAGCACCTGGAAGGCCTAAGTCCCCTCGCGCCAGACGGCTTGATTGCTGTGAGTGAGTCCTACGCAGTTGGTACAGCTACGAGT